GGGAGTGCGGGAGAGGGGGGGCACATAGACTCACAGTGGCGGGCTCCTGTGGGGGAGGGCTCCTGGGGGGGGGGGCAGCCACGTCCCACTGGGAGCACACAACCCTTCTCTCATTCTGTTTTGTGTGCTTCTTTCCTTCTGCAGGTCGTCCGGGACATCAACTCCCTGCTGCGGCGCAAAGTCATCCGGCTCCACAACCTGGATGCAACCATGGATAGCTTTGCTGTCCTGGGATTCCCCAGCTGCACGGGAGCAATCAACAGCACGCACATCCCCATCTAGGCTCCGGAACATTGAGTGGCCCAGTTTGTGAACCGAAAGAGCTACTTCTCTGTAGTCCTGCAGGCCTTGGTGGACCACTGGGGCCACTTCACAAACATTAACGTGGGGTGGCTGGGCAGGGCTCACGATGCCCAAGTTTTTCGGAACTCCAGCCTGTGTGTCCAGCTGGAGACAGGCACCTTTTTTCCCCCACCGTGAGTTTCCGGTGGGCAACCAGACTATGTCAGTGTGCATAGTGGGGGACACGGCATACCCCTCATGCCCTGGCTAATGCACCCCTACACCAGCCAGCTGGATCGCACCATGGACATTTTCAATGCCGTCCTGAACAGTCCCTGTTGCAGGTGGAGTGTGCCTTCGGGCATCTGAAAGGATGCTTCCGCTGCCTCCTCACCCACCTGGACATTGGGGAGCAGAATATCCCCAAGATGGTGACCTGCTGTGTGCTCTACAACCTGGTGTAGTGCAAGGAGGAGGCCTTCCTCCGAGGGTGGGTGGCAGAGGCCACCTGCGAGGGCCGTGGCTTTGTGCAGCCCCGGACAGCTGCAACCCACCAGGCCCATCAAGCCAGGGTGCGCATACAGGAAGCATCCAGGGAGAGGTTCTCTCAGGAACCACAGTAACTCCCCTAGGGCCTCCTCAACTGGGGCTTTGGCATTTCTTCTCTCTCCCTTCCACGTCTCACCTCCTCCCCTTGGCCCTACCCTGACATCCCAATAAACACACCTGCTTGGTTTTAAAACAAAACGACTCTTTTTTTTAATTAAACATAAATGAGGGTGGACAGGGGGAGTGGGCTGTCTGAACCGGGAGGAGAGATCAGAACTGGGAAGGGAAATCAGGACTGGGAGGGGGATCAGGACTGGGAGGAGTCATGGGGCGGCTTGCTGAGCCCCCTCAGGTGCAGGGACCTTGTTGGGGTTGGGGATGTCTGGGGACCTGATAGGCATGGACGGGAGAGGAGGGGGGGGAAGGGCCATAGGCATGACTGGGGGAGGAGGCATGGCCATGGGGAAGGAAGGGAGCAGAGGCATGCATGAGGAGGGAGGAGAGGCATGGCAGGGTGAGCAGACAGGTGGGCCATGAATATAGGAGGGTGGGCAGAGGGTGGAAGGGAGGAGCAGCAGGTGGCTGTTCCCCCATGCAGGACAAGATACCGCACAAAGTGTCACAGCGCACCATGAGGTCACTCCAGGCCTGCTGCCGCCACTCAAGATCAGTGTTCAGCCTGCGTGACAGGGTGGTGTGGATGTCATGCATGACACTGATGTGTTGGCATGAGCTCCTCGCCAGGCCTGGCTCGTCTGCGGGTCCCCCAGACTGTGACAGGTGTCTGCAGTGGCGTGGCATGGCCCTCTGTCCCAGTTGGTCCCGCTGTGGAGAAGACACAAGAAGGAGGGACGGTCAGTCCTCCCTGCACACACATTCCCTTGGCTATGCCCTCCTGAGTGAGCAGAGACTGCACCAGTCCATGGCCCACAGGAAGGGATGTCCTGGCTGCAAGGCCATGTGTGGCCTGCACAACACGCCCTGTGTCACAGGGGCCTCAAGGTGGCCACAGGACCGTGCTGCCCTCCTCCCCCCCCCACCTGCACACACACCGTGGCCAGGCAGGTAAGGGAAGTGTGTGGCCAGACTGCGATGCCCTGATGGGCAGCACAGGAGCCATGTGTAGCCTGGCCCTCCCTGTGCAGGCTTGCCTGTGTGCTGTGTGCAGCACTCCAGGGCGTATGTGGAGTCATGCCTGTGCCCTTGCGGCCACACTGCTTGTAGCTGGGTGCACCTCCCTCCCCCCTGGAGGCAGGACTTGTGTGACAGTCATGAGACTGGCAGCAGGCTCCCAGGCATGTTGAGGGGCTGGCTTCCGTGGCTACATGCTGCACCGTCCCACTGCACATTGTTGCATATGCACAGACTGCAGCAGCATGTGCTGGCCACCAGCCCACATAACACTGCCCCCCATCCCCTGTGCATCCACCTCCCACACCCTGTGTGTGTGCACACCAATGTACCTAAAGATCCCTCCCAGGCCTCTGAGGAGGCCTGGAAGATGTCCAGGCTGGCAGGGTCTTGCTCCAGGGACAGGGTGACGGTCTCATTGTCCTGATCCTCCTCCTCCGTCGGGGGCTGGACCTGCCCCTCCATCTTCTGCGCCTTGAGGACAGGCTCCATGTGCTGGAGTACAGACTGCTCCAGCCCGGAGTCCACAATGATGGAGGGGGAAGAGGGTTCCCCCCACCCAAGATGTGGTGGAGCTCCCTATCGTAGGGGCAGGTGTGTGGTTCTGCCCCTGAGCACCCCCTCCGCCCTGTCGCCCTGACATATCCCTGACAGAGCTCCTTCACCTTGGCCCGAACCTGTTACATGGTCCAGGCGGGGTGATCTCGCTGCATCAGGGACATGGCCATGTGGGAGTAGCTTTCTGCGTTACGCCTCTTTGCCCGGGGTTCCTGGAGCGACTCAATTCGAAATTCATCATTTCTGTGTGCATTTCACTTGTTGCCCCTGGTGGGGTCCTGGGAGCCCTGTGGCTGCTCCCTGGCAGAGCCAGTGGGGTCTCGGGCACCTGGTTGCTCTGCCATTCTGTGGGAAACAGAGCTGCGTGGCCACGGCACCTGTTGTGAGCAAGCTTCCTGCCACAATGGCTGTGCAGGGTTCCTGCCGACAGGAACTAGAAAGTTGTGATTGCCTGCTACAGAACATCCAAGAGGCCACTTGTGTTTTTTTCCTGGAGGCCAGTACTTGCGTCCTCACTTGCCTTTTTGCACAAGAGCTGTAGTGCAAAAAGGAGATATTCCTTGTGGGGAGAGGAATAAGTCTACCGACAAAAGCCTTCTTTCCTGTCGATTTACTGTATTATTTTTTTGTGTGTGTGCAGAAACGTGCTTTAGATGTGGACGCTCCACCGTTTTTTGTGCCAAAACTAGTGTTTTGGCAAAAAAAACTTATAGAGTAGACATAGCCTCACAGTGAACTGGAAGCAGCATTTTTGGCAAATAAAATATGTCCCCCAAAAATCGCCCAGTTCCTTTGATAGTCTCTAAATATTTTCTCTGATTCTTTTCCCTGAACTTTTAAAAAGTATACCATAGATTATCTGAATTTTAGGGAAAATTACTAAATATTGTCCAGGTACATAAATATTGTCCACGTAGAAAAGCTCCAAATTGTTGCTAAAGATCCGCATCGTAACCTTAATTCTACCTAGTCTATTCTCATGGACATTTTTTTCCTCTCTTGTACCTGT